AATTCCCAGGGGGCCCTTTGTATTGCACATAAAGTGATGGCGCTCGTTGGGATTTTTTTTGAAACGTACCTAAGTGTACATTTCGATCTGACATGTGGCACGTGCTAATTTGCCACGCTATCAGCTAAAGACAGCAGAGATGATTTGGAATCGCCTCTTAAACTTGATGAACATCTTCTGCGCCATTATCTCTATATACTGCCTAGTTACATTGTCTGACTATCCGTATCTGTACTTTTGTATGTTATTTTGTACTTGCTCATTATGACTCCCCTGATGCCGCACTTCTTCTTCTACCTCTACCGGCTGCGCTATTGTTGATTGTATATTTTACTTAGTTCATAATGTTTATTAACCCATTTGTTCATAGAACCAATTGTTGATACGAAATCTACTGCCCTCATCCGTGTTTTCCTAATCAACTGCGTATGGTCCGATATCTCCAATCGTCCTTAGCCACCCGGATCTTACCGTGGGTCGACCACACTGAGCAGCTTGGAACTGACGAAAAGTTATATACCAGTTAGTTCAATAAAGATTTGAACGATGCGCCAAAATGAAACAACTAACGCGAATATGGAGATGGTTTGAGAAGTAATGCACTTCACAGAACGTGGTACCAAATGTTAGAGGTGGATAAGCAAGACAGCGGTATGAAGGGGAAACGAGATCAATTTACATCACATACATACCTCTGTCCTCCGATTTGGAACGAAGCCGGGGATCCACGCATGAAGAAATAATTCTTTTTCGTCCAGTCGTAACGCTAGTCACAGGAGAGGAACGAGAAAAGCATAGAATTGCGAGGTACATAAACAAAAGGGGTGAAAGAGGAGATGGCAATCTGAGGGGCTCTGCCTGGGATTGGTCCTGTGACGCTTGATATGTGGCGGACCGATGTGACCTGAGTGGAGAACGAAAAACTACGCTAGCTAGGTAGTATAACAAATCGAAGCATCCACGAAAAATGCAACAACCGCTCGCTACAGGTCGCAAAATGTACGATGTCATGTTTCGCACCAAAATCCAATCACTACTGTCGATAACTGACTGGAACAGTGTCACAAATGCTTGAATCCACTAGCACAGCACCATGACACACATGGGTCTGCGGTGCAGTGGCCACTCTGACAAAACCAATTCGTGTCCAGCAACCATGATGATCATTGACGTCGAGATTTTCTAAGGGCAAACGTGGGAAGTATACCGTTACTTCTGATTCCCCCAAACGGACACATGATGTTTTCTCGTTTGATGACGAAACGTTAGCAGGTTAATTACCAAGGTCGGCGAAGAGATCAACAGCCACGTGATCAACAACCAATGAGACTTAGGTGGCCGTTGATTAGATCGCCAATTTGGGCAATTTGTTTGCGAACGTTTCACCACCAGGCGAGATACCATCATCAGTGCGTTGAGGTTGCAAGGTACCATAGCTTGTGCGTACACTGACGCCAAACTTCTGAGCAGTCCAAAGACAAAACAACCGACGAATTCACTCAACGCTTGCACTGTACAATTCACTGCTTGGAGCTTTCCAATCACAGAAAACATATTACCTATTATTTTAATCTTAAGGCTGGGAATAGGGAGACGTTCAGATATAGGACGAGTAGACACCTCGGGATGTTACAGTCAGTTCATTCACCAACAAAGCCATACACAGCAGCTGGATTTTTAAAGCATACCTTAGAATCCATCGAGATCAAAATTCGCAATTGATGTAGAAGTTTTATCGACGTAATATACTACTCATAAGGCTGCTGAAAGGTATTCGACGGCACACAACCGGTTTTACCCTTCTCGGGGCTCATCAGGTAGACGCAGTCCCGTCAATCTGATGCTTTACTCGAACCCATATTGGACGGATTTTGACAAATACACTCATTTGCATACCAATTTTGACGATAGACTCACATCATCTCTCATTTGTGATGTTCTTACATGCACCGCGATATCTCGAATGTCGTACCAAATGAAACATGAGACGGCCTAGTACGGCGCATTCAATTGCTTAAGAACATCATAAACGAGAGATTCAGCTGGGTCCCAGGCCAGTCTCGCGTCCAAACCAAATTGGTATGCAAATGAGTGAATTTGTTGAGATGTGGGTCTTTGTTGCCACTGTTTCCCTCATCAGAAACAGCGACCATTTTCGATGCCGCAGTACTGGGTTCATAGAATTATTGCAAACAGGTTGAGTAGCACAATCAGGAAACAGCCTATCGGACCGATGGTACAGCACAAACAAAGTGCTTATACAAACCATCACCACCACCGCCGTCCATTCAAGCAGACGAGATGTCAGCGGTGCCTCAAATGTGGATGTCGTATACACAACCAACTACCGTTCCCAATTTATCGGCGTGGCACATCGCTAAGCGTAATCAACGACAACACGGGCTATCTGATCGCTGTGCTCAACTCGCAAGGCTTGGGCCTGACAACAGTGCCAACAAAGTATGGACCCAAAGATTACATTAGAAAGAGCATAAAATCAGGTTTCCTCAGAGGAAGCAGCGTTTCAACAGTAGAAGACTTTAAGTCCAGTACGGCCATATGGATAAGTTTGCAGTTTACATTCGTCACTTAGGTTCGGAACATTTGGTAACCTGTAAGCGGTCCTATTGTCCAATCGAGACATGTGTTTTGATGCAAAAATCTGAACAAATCACTTTTGTAAAGTTTAGGACATTCTACACACAAAATATCTTCATATGAATGTTGGTGGAGGTCAAACAGCCAGCGGCTTCTGACGGACTTCAGATAGGGGCTAGAAAAAGGCAACGAGATGAGGAATTCAAGAGTTAGGACAGCTGTTCGCTTCGGCGAACAGGCATTAACTTGCCTTGAAGTCTGGGGACCAGTGAAACACGCAGGTTTCTCCTGTACCGTAGAAATGCTGGCTGCAGTGCATTGTTTCCGACATGAGTGCACCGAACACCATTCCGCTGGTGTCGCGGATGAGCAGCAACACACCAGCAGTCACGTTGCGAGCTTTGCGGTAAAGCGTGTGCAAGCTGTAACCATCCTGTTCGGTTTTGTAGATGAGTCGCAAGTTTGAACCGATCCAATGAGTGGGAAAGTTGGCGCCAAGCTGTAGTGGAAGTGCAAAAAGTGCATTAATTCTATTTGTGAAACAAGAAAGACGGAACGATTCAGTATTATCACGCACCCACATTCAATCCATTCCCCATGGTTGAGATGACGGAATACTTTCACGTTGACAACAGACAAGTACGTATTCCAAATGTGGGTGTCGCGCCCGTTCACAATGCCGAAAGTGTTTGCCCTCAAAGACTTTATTAGAATGTGTAGAAAAGAGCTTATGGTGTGTTCTTGACAGACGACACTACTTCTTAGGTTGTTGAAAACCCTTCGACAGCCCAAAACCGGCTTCATCCTACTTTGTGGTCATCGCATACGTGTAGTCTCCGAGTGCACGTCAAACATACGTACTACTCGAATGACACATTGGTGAAATACACTCACTAGCAAAGTAAGTTAGTTTTGACGGGAGACTCAGCTGATTCTCGGGTGAATCTCTTGTTGATATATATTTTAACTGCATGTGCTTACACAAAGACCAACCCAGGTTTCAGCTGATACGATAATCAAGACAGTCTTTATGCGCAGAGCTGATAATCTAACGAGTTGGGGATGTAGGTGAGCGAAACAGAGTTGGACATGAGTGCACACCCTTGACATTGTTAATTTCATGCGAAACAGCTACGTTCAATTCTAACCGCAACGTATTATACACCAAACGACTTGAATGTCACGTAAAATGTGCTTGGAGTGCAAAAATGTGTGCGCTAGACAAACACTCCCCACAAGGACGCCCACAGTAGTAGAACAGCCGACTGAATGGTTTCAACGTGGTTCAGGACTTCAGAAAAATACCAGAACAACGGAATCTTAGAGGATGCTGATCGAGTGAAACGGAACAATCTCTCCTCAAAGAAGCTGTTGATAATGACGGCTACATTTCACGGACAAAATGAATGAAAATCCGGATTCATCATAGACGTTTATCACACGCGCGGGAGGGTGGGGAGATGACTGGTGGTGTAGCCCATCTGTATATTGACCTGATTGACAAGATCTGATGCTTGCGTACAGTTAGATAAAGAAAGACGGTATCTGAAAACCGGATACACATCGGCAAAAGTCCCGGCGAATACAGTACTCAACTCTACCCAAACCGTGTAGGAAACAGATTGTGAGTCCTGTGTTGGTTCTCTGCCAACAGACGTTTCGAGAGCAACCTGGCAGTGGAAAGGACATCGGCGGTGACCCAGGAAAGAGGCATAAAGCATAGAGTCTCGACTTTTCGCGGCACAGCACGTGACGTTACGTTAACGTAGTCAGGTGCTTTAAAGTGTCCGGAGACAAATCGCGGCACAGTGACGTTACGTTAACGTAGTCAGGTGCTTTAAAGTGTCCGGAGACAAAGTAACCATTTCACAACACATAAGGCCGACTTACGTCTTCCAGCATATCATTCGAAAGAATGGCACTGGTACCATTGTACATGTTCGGCAGCGGGGTCGCTGATTCCATACATTCCAAAGCTTCTTCGACCATACTCCGACGACTAAGTGACTTATTGTGTTCATCGTCAACCTGACAAGGACATGCGACAAACATATCAAAAGGAGCAGATAAGAGGGCACCGAAACAAGCGAAATGGATGACAATAAGAAATAATGTTGTGGATAAAGGTGGAAAGCAGGTCCGATTGGAAACGGCATTCATACTCGCATTGAAACGCTCTCTAGTATCATGTGAGATAGCCACCGTCAATGAAAACATCAGTGGTGAAGAACAGACAAAGAGGGAGAAGGGATTAGTGCTATCCACAACATGAAAGATGGTTACGGGCACGGGATGTGCCACATCAGCATATCCGTTCAACAAAACAAGAGCATTTTGTTCTTTTCCTTGGTTGTGTGCACTATAACTCGTCGCACAGTTGACGAGCGGCAGTCACGTGAGAAAGACGTCCAGGGGAACATGAAGACGTGTGGGAAAACAATCAAAATATTTCACGGAAGAGTCACGGGACAGGATAATGAAAGGACTGAGGGGTAATCAGAATACCAGCTGATGGTGAGTGCATGTGATATTTTTAGAAAAAAATTAGTTTTCAGAAAATTGTTGGATTTCAAACGTTACCACGGTTACCATTCTAATAGATCTCAGGTGGAAAGATTACCACTGTGAATGGAACGCATTACTCGGGTTTTCCTAGATACCGTATTACAGTAGAACGATTCAATTCGGTTCCGTTCAGATAGAGCAATAAAAAACAATTCACGCGCATTGTCCTCCTACAGAAAATTGTTCAGGTATGTCAAGGTCGTATTCGACAAGTACACGCACTTGAATATCAATTTGATTATCGGGCGAAATTCAACAAAATCCCACATGAATCTCTCGTTTGTGATATTTTTCGACTGAATGTGCTGCAGCTCATGTTTCAGGTGGTACGAAACTCAAGATAGCACAGTATATTTTCATATGAGAAACTACTCATGAGGTTGCTGAAAACTCTCCGACAGCACATGACCGTCTTTATTGAGGCTCATCAGGTAGGCGCAGTCCATGAGCTTCCGTCTACTTGAACCGAAATTGCAAGAGGCTCGACATACGCAATCATTTGGTATTCACGGTAGATTCACCTGAATCCCAGGTGGACCTCTCGTTTACGATACGGTTGAATTGTCCAAGGAGACATCGCGATAGCTTCCTAGACTACGACTAGTTCCGCTCACCTGCAAGTGCTAATGAAGAAGACACCTGTATTTGGACTAGTCTCACCAGGGTGTGCTAACCTAGTGGTCGACAGTGAGTTTGACACTTGTGACACAAAACCCTATCCTGGGAAGGAAAAGGAAAAATCAGAACAGGGTTCGATTTCGCGTAATTCAGATGCCAGCGTTGATTGACTGCCTGTAATTTCAAACTTGTTTCGGCTTGGTAAGCCTTATTCAACCACATGTGTTGCGCCGACTGATAATGAGCAGTTGACCGTAGAAAAAAGACGGAACGACAAATGGCCGAGAGTGCAACATTATAATAACAGCAGAGGGGGACCCTAAACTACTGTACGTTTACTTAAATCCGCCAGTTATGTTTAGGGATGACGGCTACAGAATGAAGTGAACCGAATCGGCCATACATTCACTGACACCAAAGCAGTCATTGTCATTCGGAGGGCGGCCTTGGGTGGTGCAGCTTCACAAAGCTTAACCATCCAAGGGTAAGCAACCAGATAAACGGCAGCGCGCCCCGACAATACGGGGAATCATAATATGAGATCCAGGGGCAGCATTTTTTCGTCCCCTACGACATCAGTGAATGGAAATAGGATGGTTCCTCCGAGAGACAGGCATGTTCATAATCATGGAAAACGGCAAAGTTGCCTTCCTGCAAAGAAGGATGACTAAAAAAACCACACTCCGGTCGACCAACGGTACAACCATGACACACGACCAACGGTTGATCGTGGCGGCCCGGTGCGACTCCAAACGCGTCTGTCGTGTGCACTAGAATAAATATTTGGGCAACTTTGACTCACTCTGCTGGTCCCAGGCAAAGTCTCCGATTCAACCTTATTGCCTACTAATATACAGGTTAGATTTTTCAGTTGAAGACTCAAAATGGGATGGTTCAAACGAGCCCCCTTCCTCCGCCCGGGAAAGTGGAAGGAATCAACCACCTTTTCCGCTCCTCATTCGCTGACTGTCAATCTTACTCATACACCTTCCCCACCCTTCAAGTGGTCAGCAAACATCCATTCAGGTGCCAATCACTAAACAAACGTTTCGTGTCTAACCTATCGTCCAGTAAAATTAAACCGGAACAAACCTTAAATTCGATCCACGTTATGATATTCAAAATTGGACAACAAGGGTCTGTTCTTAAAACTCTATTTTAATTTCTGTCGGTGCGTTTACAAAACGCATGCAAAACGTCGGTTCGTCCGTACAACACAAATCGTTTAGGATGAGTTCGGATGTTCTACATCCCACGTTTTGGACGTTTGGCGACTCGCACGCAGCGGCTCCTGCTCAGTGCCACGGCTGAAAGCACCGAAAGACGGCAGTTCTGAGGAAGCTGCACTTTGCCGAGATCGGTCACCATTAGTTCGGTCAACAAAAAGGGCAGGTATTGTCATTATGGTGGGTCATATGAAGAAACGCAGTTCAGTAGAAAATTCGGAATTGATGCTCATTCCACAGGCCAGCGATTTTTCCAGTTGTTTGCTAAACAACCTGTTCCTACCGGTACGAACTTTTTTTTCAAAAGTGCTCGCACCCTTACCTGGGGGTTAGTGCAGCCGCAAACCATTCATGTACGCAGCTGGATGATGTGGCTAACAGTTACCCGCAGAGAGAGAGACAAATATGGACTGTTATCCATTCTGGGGTAGCCAACCCGTTTCCGACTATGTCTGTACGCGCTCACTTATCGAGTCACTTTCAATGTAGTTCATGTGGGCCGACGAGGATCCTTCACACAGCGCGTATTCCCAGCTCAAAAACATCAAGATGGCCGGAACTAAAAGAACATACTGATAACGAAGGCCATTCAGAAGATGAACGGAGAACAGCGAAAGGAGTTATAGCTTTGCTTTTCAACTTTTCCGAAGCCAAACGGTTTCAAAAAAAGAAAACTGGATAGAGTGGGGGTCACCTGCTGGTGGATGCTGGAGAAAAACAAGCAAGCAGCTAGCAACCACGCTGGTGCACGGAAGCTTTTAATACACCCCATAAGCGAGATGGCCCGAGTGGTTAGAGCACGAATTTACTGACCGGAAGGTCCGTGGTTCGAACCCGACCTCTGCCTCTCGACTTCCCCTGTCTAGGCTTGGCCAACCTGGCAGTATCCCAGCCCTCGTGCTTCCTTCCTTCGGGTGGCATGGCAGCTAGGCACCGGAAGAGTGCTACAGCTGAACGCTTTCTTTATAAGCGTGAGTCTATAGAACGAGAGCGATGAAAGACCACGGAAACCCAGGTTGAGAAACGATGACATCTTAATTAAACTGATTCGATTAAGTGGGTATCAGTGGGGCGATTTGCAAAATTATGGAAAATCGCCTGTGAGGCGGTTTATTTGTTCCGTCGGCTAACTGAAACTTCACTCAGTTAGACTGGATCGTGTCCGTGCATGATTAGTACACCACTGCCACATTGATTCTGAGTTTTTTGTAGCCCGTTGCCACAGCAGGCAGTTTGGTAGATTGTGTAACTAATTGGTCTCAGGATCGCGAAGTTCGTTATCTGTGATCTGATTGGTTATTCCTCAATGTTAACACAGATTTCCATTTTAATACTTGGGACAGATCAATCACGTGTAACTCAACGTTCTGCTCAGTGACAGCTACATATATCGTGGGAGCTAGTATAAACTTCACTCAGACTGGATCGTGTCCGTGCATGATTAGTACACCACTGCCACATTGATTCTGAGTTTTTTGTAGCCCGTTGCCACAGCAGGCAGTTTGGTAGATTGTGTAACTAATTGGTCTCAGGATCGCGAAGTTCGTTATCTGTGATCTGATTGGTTATTCCTCAATGTTAACACAGATTTCCATTTTAATACTTGGGACAGATCAATCATGTGTAACTCAACGTTCTGCTCAGTGACGGCTACATATACGAACTGTTCGCTCCACAGTGGCCAGTTTGACGACCCAATACATAGCGTTTGCTTTGAGAAGATGGGCAGTGTAGTGATCAAAAAACACTGATCATCAAACCGCAAAACGCGCAGAATATAAGCACATACCAAATGACTGCTAGAGGAGGAGGAAGTGAGTCGCTTGTTGTGATTTGCTCCCACACCCGCACGAAGAAGGAAGGCGAAAACTTCTGCGATTCTGCGAAATGAACAAAGAACCGACGACAAGCTATGTTGACCAGAAGTTAGGATGAACACACTAAATTGAGTGTAGATAGGAAAATATGAAAACATATAGTAATTACGGCCCACCCAATCACCGATTGACGATGGCGACAAGCAAACCAGTCGAGAAGAGATCAGCGTGAGTATAGGCCAGACAGACAGATATCAGCAGGAGTAGAACTAAAAACTGTGCAATCTGAACCCGTGAACATGCGTTTACTATCATGGCATGGCTTAAAACACCAAGATAGCTCAAAGAAAACCAAAAAGAGCTTGGAGTGATACAGTAACGCAGACACTTCCACCAAACTGACAGAAACTGCGCTCCTTCAGAGTTTGCATTTGGTCACAAGGAGAAAACTTACCTGAAAGGTGACGAAGTTGGATCGAGTGGTTTATACCAACTCCTGAAGTTAAAACACGATTGGAGCATGACAAATCCTTCTACGGAGCGTAACATGAGAAAGCACTTTCTTCATGGAAAACATGGAAGATAGCATAGTTCTTCCACACTTTCACTCATCACCATCATGATTATCAGCTGTAATAACCTCGTGCTTGTCGTATAGTGGTTATAGCTGCCACGGTTTCGTTCGCCGATGGTTTGGGGAGGTAGTGTAGGTAGCTGCGCATAGGAGGTGGCAGCTGATATAATTAACGCGTAAATATAGGACTGTCAATGGGGTTTTAAGTGGGGAGATGGGAAAGGGAGCCAAGCATTGAAGGCAATAACTCGGATGCACGAGCACCAACGAGGGCGCGACTGGGTCGTGTCTGACAATGTTTCCAACCATTGATGTGGCTCGTCTCGGGGTCCTCATCCAGGGAGATGATAATGACCAGAGCAGCTGAGTTTGCTGGTAATGGCTTTCATACTTCGTTGCCACACTCTCCTTGGCATTCCGCGATTCGACATCGCACACAATCAGTTTTACTGAGAAGAACAATTGTTAAAAGACATGAAGTCGGAAATTCTAATAAGGGCCACATGTTTTAGTATGGTGGTTCGGTTACCATGGCGGACCTTTCTCAAGGATTGCTTCCAAAATGAAATACAAAACGAATGAAAGAGCAACACGAGTTCTTAGTAGTTCGTTCATGGAGATGCACTCACAAGTCGGAGAGGAATGTGGTATTTGGCGAGTGCCACTGAGTGAAGTAAGGGGATGTCATGTTTCCATTGCACCCGGTACTCACGTGGATGTGAGATCAGATAACTCCGATGCGTACAGAATAAAGTGAAAGAAAATAGGCCTAATGCAAGATTAGACGTTCGGCTCGGGACACGGGACGAAAGGCTTATATCTCAGGTTTCAACGTAGTCTACAAGATGGCAACTGTGGTGTCACAGCTACCCATGGTCCTACTCGAGGCGAGTTAGCGCAAGCCTAGACGTTCGGCCCGAGACAGGGGACGAAAGGCTTATATCTCAGTTTTCAACGTAGTCTACAAGACGGCAACTGTGGTGTCAAAACTACCCATGGTCCTACTCGAGGCGAGTTAGCGTTACAATAACCTAGGGCTCTTCGTAAACAACGAACGAATTTGATACCAACACGGCACGATTCAGTGTGGACGCCAGTGCTTATATACACAGACTAGGGTATCCAGGGAATAAGGGGCGGGGAGCTGGTTCAGCACATTGCCATCCCATTTGAACGACAAAAGTTAACTAGGGGCAAGTGCTGATATAAAGGTGTCGCAAGATTCACAATATCTGTTTCACTGGCGCGGGGTCCTTGTCCTAACATCTGTTTCAGCGTACAGTGGAAAACACTGCCAACACCCCAACTGAAAACACCTTTTGAAAGATACGGCAATGTGACAGGAGACGTAACAAAACAGAGACCTTCATCACCTTGGACTGATGGACCCAGACAAGGCAGCCTGTGCACCTCTGATCAACAGCTATCGCAAAACATCTACACATGGGTTTGATAGACAGAGCAAACAAGGACAAAAGCCCTAGAATCGATGGATAGCATTAACCCGACTTTAACAGTTGTAAAGACGGTCCCTACTGTGAGTGTATCCGACGAGCGACAGTTGCCAGCAGCTCAACTTCAAATTACTCAGCATAGTAGCCCGTCATTACTAGGTATTGTTGGTGGGAACGTAGACAGATATACAGCAACTATTTGCCAAAATGGAGTTGGTATCACGCAAAAGCGTTGGTTCCCTTGGCTGCTCGGTATAATTCATAATTCCTTTGTTTGGCTAGTCATACCTAGCCCGGGTTCTGTGGAGGCTGCCGTTAACACCGAGGTGCACCACATGTAAATCCTTCACCAGTTCTCGTCTCAATTCCGCTGGTGCCACTATACGATCACCCTTAAGCGGCACATCTTATCCGGTAGGTTGGCGGTCGCTGTGGACTTCCACTGATACGCTTTATTTTACGGTCAGCTGTTACTAGGTAGTTGGATAAATTCTCTCATAACAGGATGACGCTTCGTTGCTTCTATGGTCCTTGAAAAATTAGCAACAGGTATTGATGTGAAGGTGATGGTGCAGAACAGTTCTAAGCCTGAGACTGGTTTTTCATCACTTGGACTGTAAGCTTTGGACAGTGGGTCAGCGGTACACATCTGCGTTTTCGGTCGTTAAGATAGCCCTTAACCCCACTTCTAAAGTCAGACTAACATTCCCTGTAAGTGGCTCGGGGACTACGTTGATTGGTTGATTACGGTCAGTGAGAACAACGACCTTTCTACCAAACTTACTGCACTAAACCACAACTGAGGATTCGTTTTCAATATGTACACGGTTCACTGATTCCTGGATCAGATTGGAACTTCTGTAATCTACCGCTTTCCCTGGCTGCACCGTTGCTAAGCCGGTTTGATTACTATCACATTGAACGACGAGAGCTAACTTCCGATCGTTATAAGCAAGTAGAGGAGCTTCAGTTACTACAGCCTTAATCTGCTCAAAATCATACTTTTACCCTTCATTTCAACGCTGCTGAATCACCTCATCTCCGTTTGCGTATAGCATTCACGAGATCGGGTAGATGTTACAGAAAACGACCCAGAAAGTTAACCACTCCGTTTAACCTTGTTAAGGTCTTGGAATTCGTCAGGTTTCTCGTCTAGGTGAGAGGGACTGACTGAGGTTGAAATGCTTAACTTTGGCGTGTGTCTCTTTATCTGTCTACAAACCATTCATCGTGCTGACCGAAAGCTTTGGAATGTTGGCCCTAAAATCAGTCAGTTCATGGACTGAATAAATCATCAAGAAACCGACAAAAAGTGCTATGACCTGAAGAACTAGAAGTGTGCAAGGGATTAGTCACCATGCGTAGGGTTGTCCACAAGCCTGAAGACTTAGGATGCAGGTCAGTTGTATGACTTGAAGTCCGTTACCGTTGATCCGTGTGCGACATGACTTCAAAAGTTATGCGTGGAACACCCGGGAGAAGATAAAGACAAGTGAGACTGAATGATTGTGGATGTGCAAATATGACACAAGATTGGAGTCACCCATCTTCCTCACAGCCTATGAATTTCCAGGCTTTGGAATTAGAGGCGATTTCAGTTAGCAGACGAAAGACACCAAACCGAACGATAAGTTGAAGACATGTTGTAGGAAAGAGGCGACGATCACAGTAAAAAAAACGAGCGCGAAAATACAGTGTTGCCTTGTCAGGATGCGTTAGAAAGATGCATAAACGCCAGTTCACCTCATAACCTCGATACAAGGCAGTAAAGTGATTTGGATGAGTGTCTGCATACCTCCTCAGTCATATTTTAGTATGATCGTCAGGTTAATAATTATGGCGCACAAAACCCATGCACAGCAGGACGGAACACAGACCACGAGAGTAAACTGCTCATTACGATGCATTGATTATAACAGAAGAGGGCTGACATTTGATGCGGGAAGAAGTTTGAACCGTTCTTCGGTGTGATCTTAATAGATCTTCCTCTTCCTACCCATGCCAATCAAAAGCGCCGAGGTTTATAAGCCTGAGACTGGTTTTTCATCACTTGGACTGTAAGCTTTGGACAGTGGGTCAGCGGTACACATCTGCGTTTTCGGTCGTTAAGATAGCCCTTAACCCCACTTCTAAAGTCAGACTAACATTCCCTGTAAGTGGCTCGGGGACTACGTTGATTGGTTGATTACGGTCAGTGAGAACAACGACCTTTCTACCAAACTTACTGCACTAAACCACAACTGAGGATTCGTTTTCAATATGTACACGGTTCACTGATTCCTGGATCAGATTGGAACTTCTGTAATCTACCGCTTTCCCTGGCTGCACCGTTGCTAAGCCGGTTTGATTACTATCACATTGAACGACGAGAGCTAACTTCCGATCGTTATAAGCAAGTAGAGGAGCTTCAGTTACTACAGCCTTAATCTGCTCAAAATCATACTTTTACCCTTCATTTCAACGCTGCTGAATCACCTCATCTGCGTTCGCGTATAGCGTTCACGAGATCGGGTAGATGTTACAGAAAACGACCCAGAAAGTTAACCACTCCGTTTAACCTTGTTAAGGTCTTGGAATTCGTCAGGTTTCTCGTCTAGGTGAGAGGGACTGACTGAGGTTGAAATGCTTAACTTTGGCGTGTGTCTCTTTATCTGTCTACAAACCATTCATCGTGCTGACCGAAAGCTTTGGAATGTTGGCCCTAAAATCAGTCAGTTCATGGACTGAATAAATCATCAAGAAACCGACAAAAAGTGCTATGACCTGAAGAACTAGCAGTGTGCAAGGGATTAGTCACCATGCGTAGGGTTGTCCACAAGCCTGAAGACTTAGGATGCAGGTCAGTTGTATGACTTGAAGTCCGTTACCGTTGATCCGTGTGCGACGTGACTTCAAAAGTTATGCGTGGAACACCCGGGAGAAGATAAAGACAAGTGAGACTGAATGATTGTGGATGTGCAAATATGACACAAGATTGGAGTCACCCATCTTCCTCACAGCCTATGAATTTCCAGGCTTTGGAATTAGAGGCGATTTCAGTTAGCAGACGAAAGACACCAAACCGAACGATAAGTTGAAGACATGTTGTAGGAAAGAGGCGACGATCACAGTAAAAAAAACGAGCGCGAAAATACAGTGTTGCCTTGTCAGGATGCGTTAGAAAGATGCATAAACGCCAGTTCACCTCATAACCTCGATACAAGGCAGTAAAGTGATTTGGATGAGTGTCTGCATACCTCCTCAGTCATATCTTAGTATGATCGTCAGGTTAATAATTATGGCGCACAAAACCCATGCACAGCAGGACGGAACACAGACCACGAGAGTAAACTGCTCATTACGATGCATTGATTATAACAGAAGAGGGCTGACATTTGATGCGGGAAGAAGTTTGAACCGTTCTTCGGTGTGATCTTAATAGATCTTCCTCTTCCTACCCATGCCAATCAAAAGCGCCGAGGTTTAGTCTGAGCCATGGGATACGGGCCAGAATACTGGATACACATTCTGTAACCCGGGAAGCATCACCACTAAAATTCACCCGCTATTTCCTCGAGAGTAGGTATAATTCTCACAAGAAATAACCATGATAAAAAAATAAAAGACTCTAGTTGACATGCGAAGTGATGTTGAAGCTAGAACTACGTGAAATGCACTTCTATTTTTATGCGGTGCAGTTTTAAACGCGCTCATGACGGTTTCGGTGTAACGGTGATACTACTGATGGGGAGGAATGCGAGTAGTATGTGTTGTTCGTGGAATTTCGCTTTGCGTCTCTTGAACAGGGGAGATCTGTTGCGGAATTTGTGGAGTCGCCTTGTAACATTTGCTTGGATTTGAGCAATGAATGATTGGAGTCAACGAATATCCAGGAAAGTTCAAGGTGACGCGTTCAGAAGAAGATGGATGCCCAGTTTTGTGAATAAGATGCAAATGAGAGTTTTGCTTCCCTGTCCAATAGTCTTTAACCGGTCAGTTGGCATTTTCTAATAAATAACTCCGTAGCGAAGGCCTTCTTCCTTTCACTGGTAGTCATGACAACACCAAGCACTGCTCTCAGCTCTGACAAACTCTTACGCAAGACGAAGAGGTTTGGCAGTGGTTTGTTTAAGGGGATTTGCGAGGTGTCACTTTCGCCGGTGACGCCATTCCACTGCCTTTATGGAGCGCTTTGGTCTTCAGGACAACATGTAAACTAAGTTTCCAACATGAAAAAAACGTTCAGCTGTAGCATCCTTTAGGTGCCTAACTGCCATGCCACCCGAAGGTTCCACGAGGGTTCGGATACTGAGAGGTCGCCCAAGCCTAGACAGGGGAAGTCGAGAGGCAGAGGTCGGGTGCGAACCACGGACCTTCCAGTCAGTAAATTCGTGCTCTAACCACTCGGGCCATCTCGCCCCGACATGCTGTGACTACTGCTCTATATCACACGGCTGTGATGCCAGTTTCGTGGTCCTTGCGATTCCTGCTTCGAATGCCGCGAACAGCTGTACAGCACTTACAGGCCTTCCAGCATTAATTGACGTCCATTGCAGGATAAAATCCAGATTTTCCTACGTGCAACAAGCCAATTCCAAGTTGTTACACCCGTTTTCTTTGTTTGTATGCTATCTCTAAGTCGACCAACGGGACTAAGTAGGAAGTCCTTCCACCTAAGTAGTCCTATCGACACAGATGAAAGCACAACTTCCTTCACGGGAGTTTCCGAGTTTCTGTTCAGCAGTTTACCTGGTGTCGGGTGAAGAAGACGAAAACTGTCAAAGTCGATTGCATTTTACAAAGTTTGCAATGCCCTCAAGCCGTGAAGCACTTTGTGCATCAACCATGGAAGCTTTTGTGAGTATACAATGTACCACTCGTCAGCTGTCGAAAACTAACGGGGGGCGAGATGGCCCAAGTGGTTAGAGCACGACTTAACTGACCGGAAAGTCCGTGGTTCGTATCCGACCTCTGCCTCTCGACTTTCCCTGTCTAGGCTTGGGCGACCTCGAAGTATCCGAACCCTCATGGAACCTTCGGGTGGCATGGAGTTAGGCACCGAAAGGGTGCTATAGCTGAACGATTTTCTTTCGAAGACTAACATTACATGCCAAAAGTTTGTCCAGGGAAACACGTGCAACTCGACAGCAGATAAAAAGGATTACAACAGGAGGGGTAAGTCACAAAATCGAGTCTGAATGGGAAAAATGAGTGTCGCCGTCAGACACTAGTTTTCGTACAAACGTTTTTAGAGAGGTCTCACGCGTTCGGAAGTCTGAGAGTAAAGATGTTCTAATGCTGAAAAACCCGCAGCGCGTTCTTTGCTAAACAAGTGCGTTACTGAGAACAGACCAGTCGAGAGAATCAAACGTGCGTTGGAAATCTAGGAATACCAGACTGCGAGTAAGGTCAAGTCACTTCCTGACGGAATGGCCGAATATCGCCTTTTCGCTTCATTTGACCTCAGACTGTCAACAGAAGACACCGAAATACGACTCGCCGTTGTATCCATATTATTGGTCAATCGCTAGCCAGCAGAAAGATGAGTCAAGTGCAAGTTAGGCTTACGGGTCACCACAGTTTAAATGACTACCTTTGGTTGATTTACACGTAGAATTTAGTCAAAGAGAGAGTGGACAGAAGCGTGCCGTACGTACACAGGTCGTTTGAACAAGCCGAGTGAAAGGGGTTTGAATAAAGCAGATTTTTACAGTAAAACTCCCAGTCATTTACTCACCTATCAGTAGGAATTTTGAAGGTGTGTTCCAAAGGACTTTGTTCTGCTTCGTGCACTAGCATTAGTCGCAGGAAAAGGGAGTTCTCCGCTTCAAGAATAATAAAATCATTATCCTTTATGTCTTCTGTGTGTGAACCATTGGCTGCAGCAGAAGAGTTGCGACCCAACGGGGAGCCGTCGACAGGGTGATCGGTTCCGTTGGTTGTTCTGTGCTCGGCCGATTCAGTCATCACTTGGTGTGGTGGGAGTTCCGACGGCGCATCGAAGGCATCCCCCGCGACACCACTGTCTATCTCTGAGTGACCTATCGTAAAATTAAACAACCCGCTACCAGTGAGGACAAGGTGGGAAATGACTATTGGTGTACCAAGTTGCCAGTGATGATAGTGGACAGCAAAATTCTACACTCTGCAGTCCAGTAGATTCTAGTTTTGATGAAATATGGGTTTTAAAAACATCCGATGAAAATCCCGTCCGTGTTTAGAAAAGTTACCAGTCCCAAGAGCTAAGCATGCAACTCAGTCAATAGACTGAGGAATGTTCAGAGAGATGTCCTCGGTAAAAAAGGCCCCTGCAGTTTTGGGCACAAAGAACAACAACAGTGACAGCTAGGCCGAGAAAACAAACATCTCAGTCAACGCCAGCAAATGTTTTGTCAACCAAGTTAACTTGGGGTAGAATCTAACTGTCTCAACGAATGAGTGCAGCATCATGTTCAGCAAAAAAAAGAAGAGATACAGAAAAGTCGCACTGATAACAAAGAGACAGATGGAAGTCACAGATGGAAGAATGATGCTACCCAGCTCAAGGGAGGGCAGCCGCTAGCTCATATATCAGTGTCATACTCCTAAAACAATGCAGTAACTACGCAACAGGCAAGATGACCTACCTGGTAGTATTTCGACTGACACATACACTAATCATTACACTTTCTCAGTGGATTGCACAAGAAAATGAATTGTATTTTCGAGCGAGGTTTGAAACAATTCCTAAGCAGGTAACGTACTAAGCTTCGCCGCTGAGAATCTGTTTCAATTTTGTTAGGCCAATCATTCGGTAGCTCAAAATAAGCAGAGAATCCATTATAAGCCTTAATCAGTCGTTCGAACCCGAGTTGATGTAAGTTTACACTATTTGCCCAAAAGCGCGCGTACACCTCATTGACAACGTACCCTCAAAAACATGAGCTATATGTTCAAGTTGGAATTGTGTACCTAGAACTATCTCCCAAGTAAGGTTTAACTATCCTTCGAGGTTGCATTAATAGTGAAAATAACAGAGAAATTATGAAAACACTACCACCTGATTCGTCAAATCAATCGCCACCAACTTCACCCGCACGTTAATGGAAAGTACGGCTAGATGCCAGAATGGTAAACCCAAGTGAGATGACCTGGAATGAAGAATGAAAATAACAGAGAAATTATGAAAACACCACCACCTGATTCGTCAAATCAACCGCCACCAACTTCACCCGCACGTAAATGGAAAGTACGGCTAGATGCCAGGATGGTAAAACCAAGTGAGATGACCTGGAATGAAGCATAGTTTAGTGGGCTTGAAAGAGCATACTCAAAATGTGAACGCTGTTTTGCTTCGTGAGATGGCAGCCGTCCTTCATTGAAGAGGTTCCGTAGGGTGTCTGACCAGACATCGTTTCAAACAAACATACAAACAAGCTGCAAACCTACATGTGCGCGCCAAGGTTGAACAGACAACGTGCATTTTTGACGACCAGCGTTGTGTCACGTGACTGTTGACAAAGACAATCGGGTTGACCAAATCTCTCGCTCGAAACTTTGGACTGGATGTGCAGCTCACTGAAACAATACTCATCAGGCTTTGTACAACTGACTGAAGTATCACATGGTGTTTCACTCAGCACAATAGTAAGTTATGAATCAATAAAGAGCAGTCAAAGTTCGTCTGGTTTTGCTCGGAAATTCATAGACAAATAAGGTGGTATTAGGAGCTCGTGCGTAGCGATCTTGACGCCCGTGTGCAGGACCGGCCAGCTGAATTCAGGACTGAGTTTTACACTTAGAGTCTGGTTAAACAGTTGACTGGCCACCACACTCTGAAAGCTGATACATCCAGTTGAAACTATACCAACAAAACGATGAGTTACTGCCTTCATACACCTATTGTAGAGGGTAGCACGACCTTCGCTCCAGATTGCCTCCTAGTACGGTTATCCGTAGTACGGATGCTAGCTGCTCTTCGGCTGACCCCTCCCACTTGACCTTTATATAATTAATGCATTCTGCGAATGGAGGTAGTCAGTCAGTGTTGCTCGCAAGGTTATTGCAACGCTCATATCTGACCAACACAGAATGACGGTAATTCTTGTTCAGGAATGGGATCGCCGAGCACGGATGAAAGGGTCCCACTTAGGGTGGGGGGAATAGACTCGACGCGGGAGGATAAATTGGCGGAACCGTGGTGTTTCGATAACGAGCCAAGCGGTAGGACAAAATCGTGTGGGACAATGTGAAAAAGAGACCTGGCTGGTAACGGTATGTGCGTGATAGACGAGTCTCAACTAATAGTTGATTCCATAGGCGATGTCATTTGAGAATTGGTGCGAGTGCCGTGTACACACTTGTACCGTGCACGTTCTATTGGACTGACTAAGTACTTTTGGACCACGCCGGTTAGTGAAAGAATCTGAAGCATGACAGATATTTGAATCCTCGTGATGTACGAATTCAGTCACGTACCGAAACGGGTCCACATGCAGTAAAAGAGATCAGATCAGTCAACGGAGCATTTTTTAAGTTGGAACTTGCAGGAATCCGATAAGCGTGTTTCAATACGAAAAATGGATTGGCTATGAGCACCCCAGTGCAGGTTGTTACGATATGTGCGATATATGGAACACACCGGAAAAATATGGCGAAACAATCGAGATATGTTAGTGGGTTGGGGACAACAAACCGCTTTTTGGAGTGTGTGCTTTACTGGCTATACCGGGGTTGAACGTGCGAATTTTAGTGTTCTGCGGCAAAATGTATGAATGTGATCACCTAAGAAGGCTCATCTGTAACTGAATGAACATTAAAAAGACGAGAACCGCGGTCACTGCTTTTAGTCAGAAGCTTCTGGAGTTGTAAAACAAAGGAAGTGCTGGACACGAAAAACGTCGTCCAGTTACCCACACCAATTTGCGCGGCTTGATTCAGATCAGCCTGGCTATGAACATGTCTATTCGCGATAAAGATAGACACAAGCTATGCATGACAAGTTTGACCGAAAATTATTGAAAATACAGATCGGACAAATCGGTGTTACCGAGCACATTCCGAGAGTTTGTAGCGATTATCCAATCTGATTAGTGCATTCGCGTCCATTGTCTCTCTCGTGCTTTGTTTTGTTCCACATCGTCACAGGTTAACAGCACCTACCATTTCATCAGCGCCTACTTTCCTCCTTTGCTAGGGAGACAGTATTTGTAAAGGTCACTCACTAGATCACAACTCACAAACCCTCAAACCACGAGACAATTTCTGTCCCAGTTGCAGCCTTAGCCGACAACATGTACGCTATAGTTTTCATGAAGAAAAGTACTCCCAAGGTTGCTGAAAACTCTTCGACAGCTCACGACCGGTTTCGCATTTCTTGCGGCTCATCAGGTAGGCGCAGGCTCCGAGTTTCCATCAACCTTATGCTCCACTTGATGTACATTATAACTTCCCTTCTGTTTGTTTACGCAGCTACGACCTGCGTCACACGCCAGGCTCACTAATTTCAACCACATCAGGCCAAATTGTATACATGTTCGTGCAAGCACCAAACAAGAAGGGACACCCCTCTCTTCACACTGCATACAACTCGGCCCAACACATAAGTACGCACACGCACAGGACAAGAAGTCAACTGAACTCCACAGGTCTTCACGGAACACGTGTAGCAGCGATACTGCGAAGAAGACACGTCCCGCCTCCGGACTTTTACTCATGAACTCTCAACAAGTGTCCTCAAACGACAAGTCACTTTTTTGCTTATTCCACTTTTCGCATTGTACCTATTTTTATCAAGTGCACCTAACTACTGTATTCATAATCATTCTGATACAACAGACATTTGTTAGTTCTTGTTACCTTATGATGATCAAGTTAATTACGTTGCAACTAGAGCACTAACAAGTTTCCAGGGTAATCGGATCTGAGAAGCCAAAACCGGTTCGTTAGAATGACTGACAAACCGGCCGAAAGAACCAAGTATCTAGCCGGTGAACACATCATCATGAGGTAGGATTTATCCACTAAGTCCAAGTGCCCAGTCGGTGCTTCAAACGTATTACGAACCAAATATCTTCACTACCGAAGCCCATCCTTACAAAACTGACACCACGTGTAAGCGGACACTATTCGACTTGCACGGGAGATGAAACACCTGCCAAAATCGGTCTACGCTTACTCAAGACCTATGGTAACCTGAGAAGAGGAGCAAAGCTACGTCACCAAATGAAGTCTACGGAGGACGTTACTGAAAATTCCCACACGGCATCACAGAAACCGACTTTGTTGGATTCCGAACCCAAGCTGACGCAATGGACAATGTGTGTCTTGATAAACAGCCTGACAGTATGGGAGCAGCTGTTCACAGGGATCCACTTAATCAGCCTTTTTTCTATTTCGTTACAGCGATATCGTGTCTGGCTTGTTCTCGCTTTTTAGCACTGCTATTGCCAGAGACTATCAGACAGTAGCGCTGACCTGGTACACCAGTATTGGAATCATATGGTCCGGTTTCGGGGACGCAAGAAGACGTAAAGCTCTAAACTTCAAAACACCCTTACCAAAACAGTTTTCTAAGTGACCAACATATTGACCGTACCAACGCATATGAGTCATGTAGGTCTCAGAAATGCGGTTGTAAGGGACGGGGGTAGAGTGACCGAATAGGTTTGCACCATAATTGTCCACATAACTGCGAGTTAGTCACACTGCCGATCAGATTCCCGTTATAAGACGATTTGATGTTCAACTACTAGTTGGGAGTCGCGGGTTAAAGCCTTCTTAGAGATTCGTAAGAAAGGCACTGCTAATAATCACAACTTTGCTGCCTAGCTTCCGATGATGTTCACAAATACACTCACTTGCATGTCATTTTAATTCTCACGGGTGAAACCGATCGTGGGCAGTCGGGGAGCTTTCAGCAACCTTGTAAGTAGTTTCCTGGGGAGCTTTAGCAACCTTGTAAGTAGTTTCCTTTATAGAAACACAATGATTTCATTCGGAGGAAAGCTCGACTTTCTAAATCTTCTAAAACTATCGACAAACAACAATAGCCTCTGGTACTCCTCGTTCGTTTATACCGCTTTTCGTAGTTGACTTGAAAGGCCCCAGCTATAGCCCATAACTCGAAAATATTGATTGTGTGATTTGGCTGCGATTGGCAGCCCTGCATATCCTTCCGTCAGATAAAAATGGTTGAGGCTCAACTATTGCTAAGTAACAGTTGTGTCAGTATGCCTTCTACTCTAAGCGAAACAGACAGTGATGCCTGGGGGATGATGTCATGAGCAAGCAGTTCTATGATTTCAAACTTACCTCCAAGGTCACGGGGAACACCTGCTACATGTCTGTCGTCTTGAGTGGAATCAGTCTTGTTCTGCTCTGACACATCGACCGACGAATGGTGCTGATGAATATGGGAGGGTGCTTGGTCACTAAAGAAAGACAAAAGGGTAGTCACATAAGACAGGCGGTGTCCAGGGAAAAGTTCGTAACTGTCAGTTTAATGGTAAAAACTTTGAAAAATCCGTTAGATCGCTGGCGAACTCATAGCGGCGTTTCCTAGCGGACAAAGTGAAAACATGAGTCTGTTACGGAAAAGCCTGATAATTTTATCAAATGAGAAAAGCGGACGCAGTCGGGAAAACTTTTTGCACTTAAAAGACAGCAGTTGAACGATATGAAATGACAAAATGACATACGGGGAGAAATTCTACCGATATCCTGTGGATCTCAAGAAGGTCGGTTTGAGAGCATTCAATCGAATTATTGTTCCGCCAACACTTAGGACCATGTGAATGGAAGCTAAAGGATGGCCTATAAACAATACCAAGGCACCCATCCTCCCTGGTACAAGTCATAAACGACTGTTCGAATAATAGGAAGTCAACCGTTTCTAAACCGTTAATTGGGGTTTGGAAGGTGTAGCTACCCAGTCTCCTACATACTTGACTGTTCAGCTCAGTCGCTCACCGGATCACGAGATGTCTTTTTTCCATACTCACAAACACGTCACATTAAGGTGACTCATCGGACATCGATTGTCCATACCATCTAGTGAGCGTACCAACTACTCATGTGCTGAGGCACCCACGTACCTACATATAGGGAAACCGAACACAGTCAACACACAGACTCGCGCGCGCTCAGGGAGCAGGAGGTCGACCACTCTCCACAAGTCCACGGACAACTATGGAACACGTGTAGCAGTCACGCTGCGAAGAAAAATACGTTTCCTTGTCCGGACTTTCGCCAAGGAACTCTCACAGAAGACAAGTTCCCCTTTTGACTTGCTCCCGTTTTGCATGGTATTTGTTCTTTCTCGTGTAGCAACCAACCACTGTCAACCATACTAAAAACGTTTATTAGTGCATACACCTGATTTGTATTATGTCCATCATCAGCAGTGCACTAATAAAGGCTTTGTGTAACCTGGGATCCTGAAACCCAGCTGGAACACGGGGGTGAAGTATACGAACTTTGACCTGTAGTCCAAGACATTGGTTAGTTGCATTGCCTCAGAGGGCGTGCACGAAGTTGAGCGCTTGTTTATCCGTAAAAAACGGGTACGGCCGAATTGTAACCTGTGGAGAATTCCCAACAGGTTGTTTTGATTTAGCCCTTGAAGAGGTATCCATGACTAACGCTCACCTTCCACAGAGATCAAGTAAAAGCGACTACCTATTGCTAAGTGAACCTTTGAATTAAGAGGCGTGCCCGAAAGCTCCAGCAGCTACCTAGAAGTCTTCGGTAACTTGTCCAGTTAGGTGTTTCGGAAGGCGCATAGTAATGGAGAAGAAAGCTGCGATCAGTCGCTATATATAAGACTACAAGATGAAATTTTTTGTGTGAATTACACATGAAGTATATGATATGCTTTTCGCATGGAAAATCGACGCAAATGAGAATGAAGTGAGCAGTAACATTAATGAAGTTTTTTGAGAGAGGCTAGGTCACAAAGAAAACGATCATAGATGAAAAATATCAGTCAAAGCTGGAAGCACTCAGTGAAGTGATGGGTGATAACTCGCTTTTGCATTAGCAACACACCAGTAGCAAAGGGATGCACTGAGATGTCACAGAACAAAAAGAAAAAAAACTGGCAAAGAGTGAGCAGAGGGTTGGTACTTGATGGGAATAAGGTGCTCACATATTAAAAAAGTAACGAGTTCACCTCGGAGGAAGATGATTTCAGCAGGATTGACACAGCACTCC